TACCCTGTAAATAGCAAAACATTAAATTCCTTCCTTCATATTTGTTGATATTTGTGTATTGAAAATATTCATGATTGACATTTAAACTCCTATCTGATTTTCGATATTTAAAAAAAAAATAAAAAATTATTTGGGCTAGTTAAATTAATTTTCGGGCTACCAAAATCTGAAGAGTACCTGTACTTGTAATGTCATGAATTAGTGACCAAGCCAGTGGTTTGCGTGAATGCGCAAATTTCCTCCGTAGGGATTTTTTTTTTCTTTTTTTCTAATGTGTTAGAAATGTGTTACAAGTGCAGCACAATGGCGCAAAGTCATGATGGACATGAGCAGAGGCAAAATCTCTAGTTGTCCATCCTCTATTTCCACTAACAGCTAATCTCAGTTGTTGTATAATAAAGTTTCTTGACATCTTTCTGATGCTAACATCATTACAGTTACTAAATACACAGATACACTGTATTTAGACGCACCGCTCCTGAACGCCGGACCGCAACCGTGTGCAGTGTGAACGCTTTAATCCGTTAACATGAGCGCGGAAAAAATACGCACCACGTATGCACTGCAAACGAAGTAATGAGAACCTGGCGTTATGTGTGTGTGCTGCGAGTGTGCATGAGCGCTCGTTCTCCAGGAGAGCGCGCGAGCACTGAATGGTTAAACACTGGCAAGAAAAAAAATGAAATGCAATTTATAAACTTTAGTGACGATGTGACACTGCCTCGACTGTGCAAGTGACAATTCCTGTGTCAACTGTGCAGCGTGCAGCTCGCTTATAGACACGCGATGTGTGGTGATTTGAAGCCATTTGCGTACTTTGAGAGAGAAAGCACGCACAGTTTCACTCACTCTGTTTGTGAAATTACGTCTCACACAAGGTTTTCTAATTACTTTAGAAGTTATTTTATAAGTACCTCACCTTCAGCATTATAATTATTTTACTCGCGCCGGACAGAGACTGAGCCGCTGCATGTTGTGCCAAACCTCTCACAGCAGCGTCATCAGCTTGAGATCGTTTTTTGGAGATCGGCTTTTTAGAGACCGCCGATCAATCATCCCAACGTGATTATCAGCCGATAGTTATCGGTAGCCGATCAATCGGCGCACCCCTAATGGATAGGCTACAAAAATGTGAACTAGCGATCTGAAACAATGGCCTCAGCACACGAAGGGGTATGGATAAGGTGACCAGACGTCCCGTTTTTCCCGGGAGTCACAATTCGTTGTCGATTAACTTAAAGTTAGTGAAGGCGGGATAGGCGGAATCGCGCTAATAGAAGTGCTCTCTATCGCGCACGCTCCACTTCTTCAGTTCTCATTCATATACAGCGTACGATCAGCTCTCAGCGCTCAAATACACTCACAGCAGTCCAAATGTCTATCGTGTAGAGTATCTCACTTAAATACAGTCGGTTATGGATTAAGTGAACGTAAACAGGTGGGTGAAAACTGAACGTGTGTCAGTATTACATGCATGCATTCCGTCTTAAAGAGACAGCATTCCTAATTAAGTACCTATCCGTGTCATTAATGTTAACCAACAAAAGTTGTTAAATAAATATGTTAAGTAAACATACTGTATCTGAAAAATGAGTTTAATTTGTATCTCTTTCGTATTTGTCTCATTGACTTATTCTGCTTCTTTTTCAAAAATTATCAATTATATATATATATTATATGAACAAGTATAATTTTTATAAGTTGCTCCCTTTTCACTACTGTTAAAGGGATAGTTCAATCAAGATTTTCCAAATTCAATCCTTGATTCAAATTTCTCATAAGCTTAATTGAGAGAAGAATTAATGACTATTTTTATTTGAAGACTACATATAAAATAGCTACCAAAATAAATGTTGGTAACTGCAGCTTGACAAAGTAATGACTAAAAATAATGACTAAAAGTTGGCAAAAAAGGCAATGACTTTTCGTCGACTAAAACGATAAAAGACTCAAATGACTAAAATGTAACTAAGACTATTAAGCATTTACGTCTCAAGATAAAGACTAAGACTAAATCAAAAATGCCTGTCAAAATTAACACTGCATCATAATTAAGTATATTTATAATCCATTGCTAATCGACATAGCCTTTTTACCATATGCTTTTAACAGTATAGAACATATTTTCTGCCTCATTCTGTGACAAGAAGCCACATCAGATCACAAAAGGAGTGGAGTAAAAACGTTATAGTGTTCTCTTTTGTTGGACAACAGGTTTAGAAACGCTTCTCATTGCAAGTAATTACAAGAGAAGTTTAGCTTTAGGCATTTTAATTTAAGAATGTTTAGCTTAGCTAGCTAACGGTATCTACATGCTGCCATCAGAGCAAGTGTAACTGCAGCATTCACGCTCCTCGGATGCTCTCGTTTCCCGAGTTGTGCTTTTAAGTCGAAATGTGAAAACAACATGGACACTCGCGTTACTACAAAGATGTGTTGGATTTGTATTATTAGAGCTTTCCGACTTGCGTTCGTGAATTTTCTCAGACGGGAAATCATTTTTCAGTACATTCTCAGTGTCCTCTTTGCTCTGCGATTTAATTTTCACAGCGTGACAACACGATGTGTGGTATGAGAGCACAATGGTCAATTAATCCTAGCTATTCATAAGCTGAAGTTTCACACTGTATGTTCCTAAACCCTGGGTTAACGTTCTTTGGCAGTGAAGTGCGAAGTTAACACCACAAAAACAGTGCTAACCCTGCTCCAAACCAGGGTTTCATAACCCCCACTTCTAAAGTCTAAAAATGTGAAACGTTCCTTTAAAAGCAGATATTAGAACGATGATAACCAGGGGTTAAGCACAGTGTGAAAATCCCTATTATTAATCAACATCTAAGAATTCACATGCAAGGTTTAAAAGAAAAACAAATTAGCCACTGTTCATAAGCAGCCAGCTTATTTACCATGCAGCTTGGTTATGAGATACGCTTAACTGCAGAGCTCTTGATCTGATTTCAAGCCCTTAACAGGGATATGGCTTTCTACACCCCCAAAGCCACACATTCCTTCTACTTCTCATTTCACTATTTCATTGTTTAACTCACGAAAAAAAAAAAAAAAAAGATTTATCTCATTTTACAAAACACAGACCTGATGGCATGTTTTACACAGAGTGCTTAACTCTGCAGAATGAGTTATGAGTTGTTTCCTAATGGGCTGTATGTTTCATGCCGGCTGTTTCCTGCAGGCATGGCCACGGGCCCAAGCAGCATCTGATAAGTTGCCATGTGGGAATGGAAAGCGAGAAAAATAAAACCTACAGCAAGACCTGATGGGCATATAAAAAATTCAGAGTGGGGCATTCAGGGAGAAAATAACAGCTTTTCAAATTGAGCAGATTCTCTGAGTGATCAAACACTGAAAACAGGCTTGAAATCACAGACTAGGACTAGACTGGACTGTGAAGCACAGATATACTGTATATATTTTAGCAAGGCTATTCTAAAGAATCTGCTATACACACCAAACTGCCTCATGTAAATAAATAAATAAATACTACTAGGGCTGGGCGATATGTCAAAAATATCTTACCGATAATTGCCTTAAAAAATATCGCGATATCCGATAATATCGTCTACCCAAGCCCCACCTCCACCACGCCCCGTCCCCGCCGAGACAACATTGCCGGCATGCACCATAAACACACACCAGGTTCAGTTCTTAATTATTGTCTTAATTATTGTGACATTAAAGTTTGGTTTTACAACTAGGGGTGTAACGATTCACTCATTTTCTCGATGTTTTATCGATCTTGAAACATGGATTTTTTTAATCGTGAATCGCCGATTTCACACAGTAATCGATTTAAAACGCTAAGAATCGAATGAATCGCGATTTCTATAGCGATTCAATGCTTTCAAAATAAATACACATTAAATTACTACGAGCAGGAATTAATGGAGACCTTGAACAGTGTTCGTGCTTCGCATCTCTCCGTCACGCGCTCCACTATTCACCGCCTGTGACTGTCACAGGATTGCGCTCGCGCTCCGTTCGTCTTCACTTTTTTTGAGCAGCTGATGTGTGATCTCTCCTTAGTAGCCTACTCGTGGCCAGTAATGCTAAAGTGAAGTAGTTTTGCTTTTCTGTAGTTTTTCAATGGCTCTCGGTCATACCGACGATATTACCCGAGCACTCGAAGGCTGCGCATTTATGGCATGGATGAAGCAAAAATGTAAGTGTCTACAGCATACGCACAGTTCCATTGAATGATACATGTGTTTTAACAATGTTGTTGAACCGAATGTACAAAGGAAACTGTTAAAACAACCACAGCATTAACAATAACCTTGAAATAAGAGCGCAAGGTTTATCTGATAATCAGATGCATGAAAGTAGCGTTTGTTGCTATAGCATATCATATAGCATATATATCATCATTCGCCGATAGAGAGGAAAAGTTAAATACTATAGCATTGTATTTTATAAAAATGAGATAAAGAAGTTTTCGCACTGAAAGAGAAGTGATCTTGCGCTTATAGAACTTAAGACGTGCCAGGCTATATCTGCAGCTAAATGGTATAAAAAGCAGAATGAACTGAAACGTTAAGACAATAAACACAATAAATAAACATAACTACTTTTAAAGTGCTTTTTTTAAATCTTGGCTAACATAAATTTCTACATATGCCATGTCATGCCATAACATCATTAAACTATCATCTAACAATGGACAAAAGTGTTTTTTTTCTGTAACCTATGGTTCTCTAACCATAAAGGCTGCGGTGTAATTTGCCTCCTGACTAAGCATTTAAAGAATTTAGGGGAAGCATTTAAATAATCCTGTGAATGCACTTAAAGAATGCAGAATCCGATCGTTAATTGAATCGAATCTAATTTAACTGTGAATCGAATCGAACTGAATCGTTCTGAATTTGCAAAAATCGTTCTTGACTCGAAAACCTATGAATCGTGAATCGAATTGCACGGATCCAATACACCCTTGTTTTCTTTCTCAGCTCTTTGCGTTCACTTAAGACATAACCGATTGTATTTAAGGGATATTTTGATATAATTCTGTGTGTATTTGTCCATTCGAATGTGTAAGAATGCGAAAAAGAGAGCACAGTCCAGTGTTCGCGTATATAAGAGGTGGCTTTTGTGTGTGCACTTTGTGTGTGTGTGTGTGCGCAGCACAGAAAACAGCACGTGAGTGCAGAAGCGAGTTCTATTTCATCCTCTTGCAGTTGAATCTTTTGAAATCACAATAAATGACCAATACAGGAATCGAGAAGCAGAATCAAAATTAAATTTTATAAGAAGTAATTCGATTCCTGACCGTACGCATCTAATCTGATTTCCAAAACTGTAATAGCTTTTCGATTCCCAACCCTCCTACTAAATTGTTTCATTTTTGCATGCAAAAAGACCTGTGTGGTGACTATTAGGGCTATGTAAAATATTTTTTGCAATGTACTAGGTTCATCATTTGTCTTTTTTTTTTTTTTAGATAATGTCAATAATCGTCTGTTACCGGACTGTTGAATTACTTCTTCATCGACATCGATACTTATGTAATATCGTCATATAGCCCAGCCCTAGCACACACACACTTTGGACTGAAGTGACTGAATGCAAGCAAGCAAACATGGAGGCACATGGGAAGTATGGTATTATGACGTATATACTGAAAAAAAAAAAATATGGAAAAAAATACTATGGACGTGAATGGCTACCGTCAACTGTTTGGTTACCAACTTTCTTCAAAATAGGGTTGTGATGGAGATACAACACGGTAATACCGTTATTTTCCTTCTCTTCCTCGCTTATCTTGTAAATGCCTGTGCACATTTTACTTTCACTTTCAAATTAGCAGCAATTCCATGTCAATTTCTTGAAAGGACAACAACAAAACAGTACAACGACAAACTCACTTATATTAAACATAGAACTTTTATTAACAAAACAAATAAATATACAAAACGACTAAACGACGGTGGCGGGTGGTGCCGTGGTGGGCAAGTGACGTAACCGGTGTTACACTGTCAACTATCACAGCAAGCCTACTACTCTGTGCTCAACAGAAGAAAGAAACTAATTTGGAACAACTTGAGGGTTTCATTTTTTGGTGAACACTCCCTTTAAGTAGGTGTATGGTCACCTTTTACGTCTAATTTTTACATTTGAAAAAAATAGCTCTTTTGCTAATGAGATACATCATACTATGTAAGACAAAAACGCATACAGGTCCATTTTTCCCCCAAACTTTGAATTTTGGATTAGAATTTTCTGCGTTCTAAAAGGCTACATCCTGCAGTAAAGTGTGCACTAAAAAATGCCAGTAGTCTATTGCACGCATGGGCTCTCAAGGTGTGTCTTTATTTGGATTTTGCAAAGTGAGCAACATACCTGAAAATGTAAGCATGCACAACATTAAAACAACGATATATTGCAGACGATACATATCACACGCCCCTAATACAGCAGCAGGTCTGTTGCATTTGTCATAGAAACTCGAGGGTGAGTTTATCCAAATGCACCTGATGCAGGTGCACTTGACTAAAAAATGTGTGAATATGCCAATCTCTAGTTCCAACTCGGTGCATTAATCCTTATGTGCAGGCATACTGTGTGAAAATACTACCCACCCCTAAAGGAAAACATTATTTACAAATGCTGCAGTTTTTCTCAGCTCACCATTTAATTAAAAATAAAAGATGCTCGGATTCGGAATATCAAAAACAAAAACAAAAAACTGTGAATATAATACACCAGCAGAAAACGACAACATTAAAGCCTTAACATTAATGTTAAGACATAAATGACATGTGCACTGGCTCTATTGGGGAGTCTTTCTGCAACAGGCTATTAAATAAATTAAGACTTTTGACCACACTGTGACAGGGGTTAATAACAAATCTAAGCTAAGCAGATATGAACGCAGAGGGCAATAAAGATACGGTGAACTCCGGGGCTTTTACAGCACTCTAGTACAGCGAGCAGCAGCCACGCTGAACATTGATAGATTCTTGGAATGGCATCAACTTTCAGACACAAATAATCAATTCTTCATCCTCAGTGGGACAGACAGCTTTCATCACAATGCCAGCTAGAAGCCATTCTTCAAACTCCTGCATGAGCTGCTAAAAAGCATCTGAAAACATGCAAAGCTGTGGCGGATGAGTGTGGCCTTCATAACGCTTCACCTGTCTGAAAAAAAGAGCCCTGCAACATCATTAAGCTCAATAGCAAAAACTGTCTTAAAAGAATTGTGACACTCTGATAAGGGAGGCTACACAAAACAAATGGTCTGTACCCTCTTTTTAACACTGTTGGAAGATATGTACAAGAACATATAAAAACGCATACACCATCAAATATGCCAAACCCAAATGTGTATTATATAACTGATGTCACACGTGTAAAGAGGTAATGCACTGTTCCGTGGATCTGCATTAACTATTCAATATAACAGGCCTGTTTGTTTGCTGTTCATGAGGTAAATACAGCATGATAAAGAAGGAAATCTCCCTGCTGAAGAAAAAGCTTTGTTTCAAGGTCCTGCTGACCTTGTAGTAAAGTCAAACAACAGTAGTGTCGGTCACGTGCTGCCTTGCATGTGTTTTCAACAGGCAGGATTTGTAATCATCAGACCGACGGCACTTTAACTTCCCCTCCCAACACTCAGAGGCTCTTTACTGAGGTCACAGTCATAGATCTCAATGAAACGATGAGCCCAGTTTACAGCTATTAACATTCCTCGCAGGTAATCCGATCACAAGTATTCAGCCATTTGTGAAAGGGATAGTTCACTCAAAAATAGAAACGTACTCGCCCTCATGTTGTTGCAAAGAGTTTAGTTCATCTTCAGAACACAAAGAAAGGTATTTTTCAATATTCTCTCATCATTTTTGTCCATTCATTGAAAGTCCACACAAGTAAAACATTAACACAAGTCCAAAAAGACATTGTGAAAGTCATCCATATGAAATTAATGATGCATTGTATTTTGTACAAATACAAAAGCAACAGTTATTATTTTTCCTGTTGGATTTTAACACTACTTGGTATTGTGGCCAGCTCCTCTTCATCTGTTCTTCATTATTTTGCAAGCCTTCTTGCTGTTGGCTGAGTAGAAGTCAAATGTTAATTTCATTACTCTAATTAAAGGGTTAGTTCACCCAAAAATGAAAATTAGCCCATAAATTACTCACCCTCAAGTCATCCTAGGTGTATATGACTTTCATCTTTCAGACAAATCCAGTCAGAGGTATATTAAAAATCGTCTTTGATCTTTCAAGCTGTTTCATGGCACTCAGCGGGTGTTGCATGCATCAGTCCAAAAGCACTCAATTAAACCGCACCCATCCATTAAAAAAAAAGTGTCTCACACGGCTCCGGGTGGTGAACAAAGGCCTTCTGTAGCGAATCGATGCGTTTTTGTAAAAACAATATATTAATCACTTTAATCTATCTTGCGCTCACTGTTGCACACTGGAAGCAGTTCCGGGCAGATGATGTATGAGGTCAGCATTGCGCATGCGCCACTCAGAAGTCAAAATGCTAGTGTAGCGTATGGACCAATCAGACTCAACGTTTTTCATTAGATTTAACAAATCAGTTCTTCATTAGATTAACAAATAGTCACAGACCCCTCACCCAATAAACATACTAGGTGCCAGGATGTCTGCGAACGACACCAGGCCCCTGGTCACCATGGCAACCATGACACCTTTTGCTAGACCAGATACACTTTACGACCTAATGGCATGTTGAGAGTTCTCCCTTTCACTACATTTTCCATAGGAAAGACACAATGCACAGTAAAAATGGACTCTTCTCTAATTAATTCATAGGAAAACCTTTCTTTGAATGAACACGCATATCCTTCAGGTCATTGTGTATGTTGTTACTGTCCTTGTATATTGTCTTTTATATTGTATACTGTTTTATGCAGGCTTATGATAGAACCACTCGTTCATGTCATCTTACCTATATGTAATCCTACCATGTTTGGTCTCTATGAATTCATCTTCGGATGATCTAATTGAGAGTGCATATCACATGCTCATACCTATGCAACATATTAGTGTTCTAAGAATCTTTACTAGTTTGTGCATCAACACCCAAGCGAATTACATTTGCAAATTACCATGCCCTCACACAAAGGGTCATAAAACCCTCCAGTAATTGCAACCTCCCGCTTGGGATTTCAGCTTTTCTAATTGGACAAGCACATCTTGAGAGGCGTGAATCTTCTCAGACCTTAAAGGCCTCACATCAGTGACCCGCCTCCAGTCTTGCAGTTCTGTTAGATTCTGAGAAGATGTGAGCTAGAACGCTCCTAATGACACCCTAAGTTCGCGCCAGGCCTCGGGTCTTGACTTTCCATTCACCAAGATCATCTGACTCAAACTGGTTCTTTTCCATCAACCAACTTCAGCAAAGATCAACTTGAGCCTTCAGATTGCGTCAGGAATCTCTGTATCAAACTTAGTCTTATTAATTGATACATTAAGTATAATTTGCACCTTTTTACAAAGGTGTGTTTGAACTAAGAA